ACTGGGGAGTCCTTCAACCAGAACCAATATACTCAAGGACTCAAAGGTGGTACGTCATTGATGACTTTAAGGAGGGTGAGGAAATTTGCTGCGATTACTGTCTGTTCTGCAATCCCATAGACTTCGAGTTGAAAGACGATTGCTATACGGAATGCATCAACGGAGCAGCAAACAGATGCCGTGGGATGTCCGCAGAAGACTAATTACGTCCAGAAGCGATTTCATGCATGTGCTCGATTGCTTCACAACTTCGGCATGGGGCAAACGGTATCTTCTCCCACCATCGTAATCTCCGAGATGAACCCGCACGATGACTTGATGAAGTTTTTACACGAGGCGATGATCATCTTCAATGAGAATCCAGGTTTCCAGAAGGAGATTTCGTTCTTCGGGGGGGATCAGGTTGTCATCAACAATGACGGAGAACTTCTTCAAAACGAGGAGAGGACCCAGCATCCATGTGGAAAAGCAGAAAATCGGCAGCGCCAAGTACTTCCAGGGATCCTATGACCTTGGCAACGTATGCTACACCAAATACCTCAAGACCATACTGGAACCCGATGTATTCCGCACTATATTCGGAGATGATCCCACGGAGGAACGGGTAGGTGACATGGTGGAAGCGCTGCTGGGCATGTTCGAAGTTGCTCAACTCTTCAGGCACATGTTCAGGAGATGGGGTGACATCGAAGCTTTGAGGACGGGATTAGAGGAATCCATCAAACGCGTCACTGCATCGCTGTACGACAGGACAACATATGAGAACCGAAAGCGATCGATGATTAGAACCATGGACCCGCACTCTGATGAGGCGGCAAGCGTGGCGCTGATTCTCGTCCGCATGAGGACTATGCCGCTTCCTGAATTCGACATCGACCACTTCTTCGAAATCGGAAAAGAACCAGAACAGGGAACAGGAGCCACTGGCGAGCCCGAGGCCGAAGGTGTCGATATGGAGACTGAATGTGTACAGGAGAAGGAGGAGCAAGATGTTGACATGTCCGACCCGAAGGCATCAATACTGCATGCCATCGACGAATTTGAGAAGAAGATCGGGCGGGCAGAATTTTGCATCCACTGCATGGAGTCGGGACACACAACTCTCAATTGCGAGAAGACCCTTTCATCCTCACCTACAGTCACCTCGGTGTTGAGTGATTGGAAGAAGAGAGTGAAGGGAGAGGTTGCACCCGACGATGTACCATCAGGACATCCAACCGAACAGCCTAAGAAGAAGAAGCAGAGAGCGTCGCCCACTCCAGATAGAAAGGTCGACAGCGAGTTCAGGCGCAAAGAAATGTTAAAAGCAAGGGTCGTGACAATGTTCGACCATGACGGATTCACCTTGATCGAAAGTGCTGATGGAGTCGAAGGAGGACCACATTCCTACAATGGGCGGAAGCTTGTGGAAGCAGGCCCTAAGGATATGAAAGAGGTGTATGAATTTGTCGAGAAGGCATTTGTGCACTCCAGTTCCCTCACACCAAAGGCATGTCATCACTTCTATCCCCTACCAACACGGAGGGAGAAGGGATACAAGCCGATCGACCCCATGACGATGGTCGGGAAAGTTGAACTAGTACCGATCAACGGAGTCACTTTCGCTGCAAAGAACTCCGACTACGGCAACCACAAGTATCCGACTCCAGACTGTCGAGTACGTGAATACAGCCAAACGAGCCAGGCCCTGAGTCGTCGATTGGGAGCGAAGTTGAGACATCGAATTGGACGCCAGTTCAGGACAGGAGGAAGACTCGCACCAATCAAATGCGATGAAGGCGCATGGGTGTCATGGGAAGACCTGTTAGGTGATAATGCAGTTTGGGAAGACGGTTATCACTACGGCAACATAGATATCGTGACCAAGAAGGCGCGTTTGGAGAAGTACTTCGACCAAAACTATGAGTGTTTCCGCATGACCAAGAGGGTCAGATTCCAAATGTTAGCGGTCCGTGTTCACCCTGATGAACTCAATGAGCCTGATGACCCGATGGAGAAGGGATGGATTAACGAACTCAAGGACATGGGAATCTCTAAAGGAAGACTCCACCATAGCGATGGATGGTGCTTTCCCGTGGCTGTAAGAGCAACCTCGGCACACTCAAGAGACGGCGGAGGTTATGACGTTACCATTGACATCGACCACATTGGGTCGAGAATGACCAACGACATGGCCCTATCTATGGTGACTGCATTTCACGCTACCAATCTCGGAGCGCTGACTTCAATCATGCGACGAGGGCTAGTGCCGGGAGGTCTCGGTTCATCGGGAAGGGATTCTATCCACTTCACATGTTTTCCGCCATGGGCCTGGGAGCAGGGCTACAAGGGTAAACCTTGGCTGGGTCGTAAGGTCGCAATGAGGGATCGCCCAGTGGTTCTCTACATTCCGGTGTGGAAGCTGCAGGAGTACGGACTTCTCATCTCAGCGACTGGGTCTCTATTGGTTGAGAACGTCGTTCCCTTCGATGAGGTTAAAGGGGCATGGTTGCAATGCGACAATGCGGAACCCGGACAGCCTGAGAAGATCGAATGGATCCGGTTACTCAGTGGGGAACCCGACCCTGGAAGCTACCTTGTTCTAGAGTCCAAATACGGAAACCCGATCATGATTCCACGCTTTCAAAAGCTTGAGAGCTTAGCGGTTGAGGTTCAGGACGATACCTACTCCGAGGACGACGCCAAAATCTTAAAGCTGTTGGGTATGATCGAGGAGAGTGGTGTTTACCCAGAGTATGATAACACCGAGTGGCAGGAACTCTTCGAGGAGATCGTGTACCGCCGAGCGATGAAAGACTATGATTCAAGGCCGTGTCCTAACTGTCTTGGCGAAGTCGATGTGCGATTGACGATATGTCCGCACTCCATAGCGGTTTTGATCGCGAATGGGAAGCTCACACATGTGGTACCCAAGGAGACAAGGGACCGCAATCAACGATCACCTCCGAAAGATGTCCCAGCCGGTTCTTCCGGTGAAACAACCTCTGCTGCAGGTGCAAACATCGATGAAGTCATCAAGAACGCACGCAAGACAGCCGAAGAGGTCATTGAGATCGAGGAATCCGAAGGAGAGGAAGAGGAGGAAGTTCCTATCATTTTGAAGGAACGACCGGACGAAGCTGAAGGCGAACCCGAGTATCGGGAGGTCCCTCAAGATGGATACGGGAATGAACTTCCGAAGCCTTCCCCTTCGCAATTGACGAATTGCCGCAAGAAGCTGCGATCCCCATCGACCACAACTTTGCCGTCACACAGCAATTTGATCTGAGGTTGATGAAGTTGATCAAGGGCTTGGCCAACGCAACGTTCGACATCAACTGCTTTGAGAGTCGTGAAGATGTACTGCGAATGTTCGACGATGGACAGCGGCATGACACTCCGCACAATAGATGGCCAATAGTACCGAAAGATCCGGATACTGGGTTTCCAAGACGTCTCAAGAGAGCCGAGGTCGTAGGCATGAGCAGATGGACCGACGACGTGTTTGCAGCAGAAGCGTGGCAGATCTATGAATTCCACGCCAACGTTGTTCATCCGATGATGATCACTGCAATCCGCTGCGGGCTTAGCCACAAGTACCTCAAAGAGGTCGGCAACACTCAGCGTAGCATGAGTGATCCAAAGGCTCGAAAGTCTGAGACCCAGGATGAGATCATCGAGAAATTGGCATTCATCTCAAATTTCATCAGACGCATGATCAAGAAGACCTTCGGAGCGAGCCGATATAGTTACTACCAGAAACCAGATGACGAAAGTGCCGCTCCATACAAATTCATCGACATTAGTCCCGCCATCAAATCGGAGAGGAAGAATGTCACGAAGGAGATCCTCGTTGCATGCCGCTACTATGGAATAGAGGTATCCGATATCCAAGCAAGGAAATTGAAGTCCTTCGAGGAGCAGATCCGAGCGGGAAATCCAAGGAACGTTGAGCTCATCAAGGACTACATTGGCTTTGTCGGCGCTGACTACATGCGACAACTCACGAATGGTTGAGCATTGGGGTCATACCGACATGCCACTTCCGGTACTTCAAGTACTGAGGGATCTCGGGTAATTCATGATGACCGTTTTGGCATCATGGGAGTGAGATAGGATTGTGTCTCACACCGTTGGTAATCGCATGATACCATAGGTAGGTGCACGTTTTCCGCTTGTAGCTCCATTGCCTGTTTGATCTAACTTTCAAGCGAATGCAAGATCTTTTGCTAATTCAATTCAATAGGACATACTGGTTGACCTCCAATACACTTTTGAGAACGTGATTCGTTCTCCGGTTTTTACATCCACTCATCTCCCTTCCCCGTCGAAGTACGGATGTGGGGGGTGTCAATAGGGATGGGGTCCCAGTATAGTTGCTATACAGGTACATGCCATATACTTTTGGCTCAAGTGCCCAACCAGGTAAAAAGGGGCTTTAGCGCGCGAGCTTCATGTTGACCTAAGAGCTAGAACGGGGCCAGGGCACACCTTTCCATCCGTTCACATATATACTGTGTTGGACATGTTTTGGCAGGGTTTGCTCCCTTCATATGATGAATGATAGTGAGGTTCACGTTCGTTCATGATGGGTGAAACTTGGTGGTTGGGATGTTTGACCCGAAATGCCCATAGACTTGGGCGACGCTTTTAGAGACTAGGCTGGCAAGCTTCCGACATTCAGATTTGGCTTGCGGATTGGTGTGTTACAAGGGAAACGGATGTAAAACGTACCGTGCTTTCATTCGGGCTTCCATCTTGACAGTGCCTTGAGATGGGGTTTGACCTTACTCAGACGGTAGGGATCATTGACTGTTGGTTGCACCAGCCAGAGGCTGTTGTTGCTTGGTGGTTGATCTAAGCAGCCCAGATTATCCATGATCAGGAGTTGGAGCAGGCCTTTTTGCAACAATGAGTCGTCCGTCTTGCCAAATGCCAGGACTTGCATATTTGGGGTACCACAACATGAGAGCCGAGCCGCCAATCATGGCAACCAGGGCCACTGCCCGCACTGCTACGAGGTTTGCACGCTTATTTTGTGCGAGCAGGACAGCCAGCTCATCCCATCATTTACGCCACTTGGATAAGTATCCTTTGCAGATACACTCTGGGTTTGGGTGCCCTGCTGACTGGGTTCAGAAGTCATGAGGCAGTTTTATGTTAGGTGTATATGTACATTTAAAATCAATGTCAGGTAGTAAAGGGAGCATCAGGATGACAGTGGAGTCAATTTTGACTTGCTTCATGATGACAGTGGCAGCGCAGTCTCTTTAGGTATTGGTATTGGTCGTTCATGAACCTAACATCAGCGGCAGAACATGCAAATGGTAAGCAGATGTAAGCAGTGATTCCAGTTTCGTCTTCATGGATGCGCTGCTTCACCCGCTTCGTCTCCACTCAGAAGTCATCCCGTCACCAACGGGGCGAGTCACCCAGGATGTGCGGCGCATCCGGGATGGCAACAGTTTCGCCACCCGATCAGTGGCCGCAAAACAGGAAGGTCAATGGACACTTGGCAATGTGAGGATCCAACGAATGTCAGTGGCCGCAACTGGAGGCTGGTCATCTACAGAAAGTAGAAAATTGATTCGTGGATGGCTTCACAATTGCAAGTGGATTTGCTGTACTTGCGTCTTGCTTTGGGATTGCACGGTTTTTTTTGCCTCAAAATGGTATGCCCACTCGAACCTGCTGGAGCGGGGAAAGGCATCAAAGCCGTTTGTTGTGGGGATCTCGACGCATTCAGAGTTTGGGGGTGTGCTTGGTCACGTTTGAGCCCTGGGTGCGGCGAAACCAACTTGGATGCCTAGGGCACTTTTTTGTGCTTTTAGAGCCAGGCACAAAAGCAAAATTCTGCATCGGTGATGATTATTTGTGTATGGTTGTGTCATATGACATTTGATGTCAACTTATCATTAGTCCTCATTAGTCATTTTTGGTCTCAGGTTCACTCACTTCAGAAGTTGCCCAGGCAGAAATAGAGCAAACTGAAGTGTTTGACAGGTTCTATCCCACTCCTGTACGGACTTCCTTGGGTGAGGCTGGATGGATCCATTGTTTTGGGCGGGCGCTGGTGGATGGATCCACCTGTTCCAAGCATTGCCTCCAAATGGCCGGATGTGTCTTCAGCATTGGCTCGCTCAAGAAGGAAGTCCTTTAGCTAAGCCCAGCCCTGCAGCTTTTGCCCCCACGTGGCAGAAGAAACCATGATGAGAAGTAAGTCCGTTGCTTTGCCGCTGGCCTTGTTGGTCTTGGCTCTCATCCTGATTTGGCCGTGCCTCGGATTTGGAGAAATGAATCCGCTGTAGCTTTGCAGAGGTTTTCTGTCGTCCGTGACGGTCTTGGGCGCATGGGTCACTTCCAGCACTCGAGGTTAGGTTGGGAGTCTGCAGATTTGACAGCCCTCAAAGCTCAGTTTGTTGCTCTGATTCATTAGTTGGATATGGACTCAGAATATGTGATTGATCACCACTCAAAGCTGTACAGACACCACACTTGATCCTCGGAGCTTGAAGAAAGAGATCCAGTATTATGTTATTTACGTATTCTCTTGATAGATGATGGTAGATGAAAGATTTCGGGACCTTTCACCCCCAAACCAAGTTCTCAGAACACACGTCCCCAAAACGTGGGTCCCTTACCGGCCGCCATTCGTCTGGTGATTTCGCCTGCTGCGGTAGCAGGTCCACCTTCTCAGCTGCTCCAGTGGCTGAGAGCCCCGAACTCTTGAAAGTGTTGCGTCCCCTTTGCGCGGCTGGGTTGGCCTCAGCCGCGGTGCTGGGCGCGGGCGTCAGATGGTGGCAGGGCGGGGCCAATGTTAAGCTCGAAAGCGAGACTGGGCATAGATGAAGGGGTGCAGGGGTGACGGGCAACGTGTCAAGAATATGATACTTCCAGAAATGATATCAATCATATACTGTATCCACAAATCAGATCAAATCGGCACGTATAGACTGCAAAACTGCATTGATGGGTTTGACATAGTTTGACTTTGTTTGACTGGTTGGTGCTGGAAACCATTGGGTTTATATATATAATATATACATTGATGTTGCCATTATTCAACAAGCTCTCAAGCAGGTACAGGATCAAGATTGTATTTTAGGGCTTGTTGGTTTGGCGTAGAACTCTTTGCGAACATTGGGCAACTGAGTCTGTTGCCTGCCACGTGTTAAACATGTTGTCGTAGGGGCCAACAATAACATGCAATTGACCCATATTGATCCACATTGCCCGTGTCGGTCCGCAACAGCCAAACCTTGGTTTTGATTTGTTCATGGTTGCCACCAGCCGCCAGCCAGCTGTCATATGTGTATGTTATGCTTTCAACATTGCACATGCAGACACCTATTTTGGCCATCATAGATGCTTTCCGTGCCTCTATGGTGCTCCAAATCATTGGTGGATCCTTGCCTCATCGTCCACGCGTTTACTGTATTATACCTTGCTACCATCATGGACTGATGCAGCAGCTAGCTGACTTTCAACAATCCCAGTCCAGCAAGTAGTTTCTCTTATCTCTCATCATCCGTTGCTAGCGGCCTAACTCCCAGATAAGGAAACTAATACATTACTGTATTGGGCGAACTTGTTCTCCGTCACCTGGGAAACCCACCACGTGAGAAAACACGGAGCCCTGATGAGCCATGCTTCGCATCCGGTTTCGTAGAAAGGTCCCATCCGACATCGGAGCCAACTGAAGGACCCCAGCGATCTCAGCCTCAAGAAGCTCAGCACCATGTAGCTTGATTGCTCCGGTGGGTGTGGGAAAGCCCCATGCAGCTACTAAACCGTTGCTGAAAGATCTGAAAGGGCTCATAAATCCAGATATCGGTTGTTACACCTTTACACCCAAACGAGGCAAGTCATTGACGCTTGCGATGTTTACAACACAGCCCGTTAACTTCATGGTGCTGGATTTGGGCATCTTTTGGTCACAGCAGCAAGTTGATGGTGGTGGAACACCAAATCCCCATGTGGCCTGTGAAAAGCCTCCAGAGGTTGAGTAGATGGATGGCTACAGCCTTCTGGAGTTGGTTGCTCTGACATCATTGAAATGAAGTTTCCCAATATCTTGGGTTGATGAACCGGTCGAATAGCCGGTGTCAAGGGCGCGAGTTGCAAGTGACTCCACTTGTGGTCATGGCTCATAAACCTTGTGTGGTGTATGTATATATATATAGCGGGGCAAAACAAAGTGTTTGGGCCAACTCGAGTCACTTGAAAAAGAGAGACGTACTGCAGATGCTTGTCGGGACTGCTGCTGTCAGTGTCAGTCACTGTTTCAGGTTCTGCAATCTCTTCGCCGTGTGGCTAGCCGTGGCAGCGTTTGCTGCGCTGAACCAGCCAGCTACTGGAACTGGATTTTGGAGGGCTAAAGAGCTACCACAATTAGAAAAGACAACGACCAGAGTCAGAGTTGTTTTGAAGATTGTTTCCAACTACTCAGGGTGCTTTCGCAGTTTTTGTGTTACTCCTTGGGGGAAACCAATGCCGATCCAGCTCAGATTGCCGGAATCTAGCGCCTAATTTGGGTCCTGGACCGGGGATACTTTGACTGGTTGGCCCTTCATCGACCCCAGAAACGAATCTCCCAGGCCACAGGCCTAGGAGGTTCACATGGAGCAGTTGAAGCTTGGCTCCTAGAGTTCTAAAGGAAAATCACCTGACGAAATCAACATGATGAATCATGTAGACTCTTGATTAGTAATTACCCCTCTGGTCGAATCCATGAGACTCCTGATTATTGATTGATTCTGAAAAATCAAGAGGAAAGCAACAGGAATTAAACGTAAATTATCAAAAGGACATCAAAAGGAATCAAAACAAATTACGGTAAAAGGATATCAAAAGGAATTAAAAGGAATTAAAAGGCAATCAAAAGAGGTCAACAAAACAAACACAATAAAACACAATACAAATGTGTAAATAAGCACAATTACTTCTGTTCAAACAGGTGCATACATTAATCTGGGAGGGGTTATTGATCGACAAAAAAAATGTGTAGGCATTATTCTGGGTGGGAGGGGTAACTAATCAAGAATCAACATTAAACATTACATGATATATGTTCATTGTTTTGTTTTTCTTGTGTTTGATTCAGCAAAACTGATCGTGTTTGTGGCGGATCAGCAACACATCATCTCAGCAGCATCTAAGAATCCACCCACTCATTTTGGACTTGAATCATGTGTCCTAATGCCGGATCCAAGGTGGGATGATTCTGACAGAAGGTAATGATCAGGTCATGGCAAACCCCATCGTCATGAGAGCCGCTACATAGCTTCGTGAGGGTCCTCAAGACCAGTTGGTTTTCTCACGCCTTCCACGTCCTTCAGCAAGGCTACGTTCACATGGGTCAAGTCCAAGTATTTTACCACTTTGCTGCTTGGCACCGAACTCTGCGGATGTGAGGACGCCGTGGCCATGGCAACAATTTTGCGACAGTCTGTGAAAACGGTTGTGACAGGTTTGCTTTGCAGACTGCGTCCTTCTTACTCAAGCAGACCTTGGGTGATCCAAGCATGAGAGTCCCCCATGCATCCAACTCACATGGTAATTAGTACTCCCACACACACCAAAGACCTCTTAGGAAGTGTTCCTGTTTTGTTTTGTTCTTCCTTGACCCCTTGATTTGGTGTGTATATATATATATATAGAGTGGAATCCTGCAGTCAAAGACTCAAAAGATGTGCTGTGATGTGCCGTGATATCATTTGGCTTGTGTTGGTGTCCGACTGCTTGGAAGAGTTTGCCGCTTTTATGCTGCAACAGCATCATAGCTAGTGGGGTGGTTCGCTGCATGCTTTCCATACCAACCTCATACCAGCCGTTTTTGCGATGTCCCATGTGGTGCCTGGGTTGGAAATTGGATGTTTGGTGACACAAGTCTTCCTCCCGAGTCCCAGGTTGGGACTTCTCATGTTCTCAGTTGGCATCACCACCACCATCAGCGACTTCAAGGAGTGCCTGAAACGCCCCGGTGCTGTAGCCACTTGGAGCTGGATCGTTTTGGGTGCCGAGACGCAAGGTTATCCAAGCGGTTCGAGCCGAGCACTCGCCTTAGACTAAATAGACCGGGGCCACCTGTCGTTGGGGAGATAGGGATGTCGCAGGGTTGAACTGGAATTCAGGCTTGCGAGTGCTGGCAATGGTGATTGCTTGTGACCCTGTACTGCATGTCACACATGTTTTCACTTGTTGTGTCATATGTTCATGCACATATATATATATATAAGATTAAAAGCATGTTTGTTTAAAAAAAAGTTATTCTTTTTGTTGCGCGAGTGTTCGGCCGGCCTACCTTGCGCGAGATTGCGTTAAAACGTCTATTTGAGTCCATAGTGGCTTCGTCAATGCAGGAGAACATGGAGCAACTATCCCGAAGAGACCATCCATGTGCTTCTTCTACGTTCTAGATTCTAGCTATTAGCCAGAACGAACCTCAGGATGGCTATAATTGACTGTGTTTGTTGACCAATTCATGTCAGCAGCTGCTATATATATATATATTCATCCTTTTTTCTTGCTAGACGGCGCTGAATCTTCTATTCTAGCATTGGTTGATGTCGCTTAACTTGAACGCCAACATGGCCAACACTCCACCAGTAACAGTACCATTATGTAATGGATGACATATGAAGACAACTTGCACCAGCTAGCAGCAGAGACAAAGCACTTCGACAATCAGATGTTCTACCTGAGCTGGTTCAGGATTTCTTCCTGCAAGCTACTCCTAGATATGCAAAGATCTAAAGAGACTTCGCTCTTGCGGGTGATCCGGACGAAGCGGCGAAGGCCATTAACTTCATCTCTTGCTATGCCATCACTCCACTCCTGGCCTATTTGTTGGCCAAAGCCATTGGTGCCGATGGCCCCATCCTCGCAGGCTGGGATGTTGGGCGACCATCCGAGAATGGCCGCGTTCCTTCGTGTGTTCCTTTGCGTTCCTTTCTCAGTTGAACCCTCAAGCTCCAAAATCATAGCCGTGCCTACACATCCTACACTCAAATTTACAAAGGATTGCTAGAGCCCAACGAATCCCCCCAAAAAGGAACTGGGAGGGTGTGACATGATGGACCAAACCCCAACCCCATGGGGTGCTCTTCTGCCAGGACTCGTGCTGGTTGGATCCATCAACGGCGGCCAAGCTTCGTAGCCTGTCCAAACCGTGGCGATCGGTCAGAGTCTGGATGGAGGCCTCCCAGTTCGACCCCCTGCAAAAAGGGATAGATCAAAACCCGTTGGCAACAGGTGGCTTCCTTGAACCAAATGCGCACCCACATCACATATCAATACTGTAACCGATATATTGCATCGCACACTAATTCAACCGATAAGTTAGACGTGTCACATCAACTCTGATCTACTTCAGAGACAATGGAAGTGGAATAGAAGTAGAACAAGAAGACCTGAACAGATCACATCGCATCTGCACGTTTTGCATCGTTTCATATGATTTATCGTTGTTTTTTTTTTGTGCAGATTTTGAATGCATGTATATATATATACACACACACTATACACAACCAAAATATAAACGCCACAAAAAAAGCAAGATATATACTGTCGCAATCATGATGTGTGTACATTTTGCTGTATTTATTGTTTGTGCGTTTGTGTGTACATGTTTGTTTAAATCCCCAAAGTGCATGTGTTTTGTTTGCTGTATTTCTGGTTCCTATTCCTTTCGTATTTGTTCATTTCAGCAATGCTCAAGAAACAGCAAACTTGAGAGGGTTGTATGTCTCAATGCTAGGGGTCCAGAGTTAGAAAAGGCAGACTGAAAGAACAGCTTGATGAAATGGCACCCGGTTTTGTCCTCACACTTGCATTGAGGTTACAGTAGGTTATTTCCGTAGATGCTTGCAGAAGCTCCCAGTATCGATCGCAAGATTTCTTGCGCCCTTGGGCCCTTCGTTCTTTGGTGCTGGGGTCCAACTTTCTTTATGGAAAACGGCATTGGATGCCTTGGTCGGTCGCTACCTCGCGCCTCGCACCGAAATCTGTTCGAGCACGAAAAACGAAAGCTCAGCGGTGCGAAGAACGACCTGAGGAATTTGTGCACCTTGATTGCTGGTGGAGACGTGGCTTTGAGCGCATCTCGGCCTTTGAGGCGTTGGATGAGATTTGAGACGTGGGGGGGGGGGTTCCAATCGTGACCTTTGAACACAAGTGACGTTGTTGACAGGCAAGCCACACTGACTGAACGAGTTTGCAGGCTTAAACGAACAATAACTGCAATGGAGAGATCTCAGAAGCATCATAAGTATTCACTTGAGAGGCTTTGCGATGGCTTTGGGCGCCCAGCGCATGTTTGTTCAAATGGACGCCAATCCGCCAACCCATGTGCAAACCAAGATTCCCACTCACAAATGTCAAGTCTTTCATTGGGTGAACTGAAATGGGAATAACTGGGATGTATCCCCCGGCCCGGTAACAGCATGTAACAGTAGCAAATTCAGAATAGCATAGCATAGCATAGCATATTTTTGAAATTTGCACGACTCTAGCTCAGTAGTTAGACACTTGCAGAATGATCCCGTCCAACATGCCATATGAGACCCCATGTGTATATATATATATATATATTGTAGTTATATATATGCCTAGTATTACATAGTTGTTTGTACAAATACAAGTCTCATCATGCATGTGTGCATGTCTATGTCTTATATATATCTTATGCATTGACAAAAACATAGAACATCTATGTTCTCACATCGAGGTTTTGATGACAACGTCGACGACGTTGGGATGCATTTTTATGACTCCCTTGATTTGTCACTTGGTGCTGGGCGCTGTGGTCCCAGTCGATGCTGGAGGCGGGACGTCCCGACAGTCCCGACTGGAACGTGGCCGATCCTTTGCACTGAAAGTTTGGTCGCTGATGGAATGCTGGGATGGCATTTGGGATTAAATATGGTATATATCTACAACTCATCCTGATTCCTATATCCTACTATATCTTCCGCTGACCTGGGCACCTGGGGTCAGAACATCACCCCTTTCGGACCTGCCATCGGGAGAGCGATGGCTCGAGAGCGCTGACTGTGAGGCATCGTATTGTCGACCTTCCAAGTAGTCCTGCTACCCATTTTTCTGGGCCGCTGGGACATGTTTCAGCGCGGGTCCATCGCGCGCGTTGTTGGCAGCGCGGGTCCAACGCACGTGATTCGTGGCCCGCATCAATCTCTTCAAAGCAAATATTGCCACTGTCATGCCGCACGGAGACCCAGCGAGAGTAGCATTTGGAGACCCATGGAGATTTGGGCGCAGAGGTCACAAGATAAACATGCGTTCACCATGCCATTCATTCGCTTCAGCTCAGAGTTCCAGCAACCTTGAGACCATGCTCCAAGCCACTTCGGGCCATTGCTCGGTGGACGCTGCTACGGGTGCATTTTCTGAGAAACACCCCGTGTTGATGAGGTCAAAGAGGCGTCTTGGGGCGTATATAGCAATAAGAAGAACCCCCAAAGGACCCTCGACACGAATAGGACCAAAAGATGACCAGACCAAGCCCATTTGGTGTTTTGGGGGAAGGGTCTCTTATAGTCTAACACACACTCTAAAATATGCAGTGTGTATATATATATTTATATATTTGTATACATACGTTGTACGTATTTAAATATATATGTATATAGAGAGAGATAAATTATATCATCCCCTGGAAACTGTATATCGAAGACGTCTTTTTGGAAGCTTCACGAAGCTTCGTATTCAGCGAACGGGTTCACTTCGTTTGGTGAAAAAACAGATGCCTTGGATGAACCGAGTGACCCCAGTTCTGGACCCAGCATGTGGCCTGCCTTATCAGAACAGAAGCTTTTTGGGGGTTGATTGCCTAGTTTGATTTATATTTAACCAACCTCGGTTTGTAATGGTTATAGCAGGTTCTTGCACAATTGCCAGTCTTGACAGTCTTAAAGGTCATCCCCAGTCAAATTGGTCCAACATGGTCAGACCAGTGCCCTTGCAGGCAAACTGACCCAGCCAGATTGAAGATTGGCCACGATTGGCCGCAAGATGTTCCTCACTATCCGAGCATTTGGAGGGTTTGGACTCCAAGCAACTCGCCCAGGTGTGGGCTTAAACACCCTGGTGCCCAAGATGTGCAAGGCTTGAGCGGATGGGAGGAGCTGGACTGGTGGAGAATGCATTCTGTGGAAAATGAGGTCCTGAGAAGACTTTTTCTCTATATCATGTATTTATATATATATATAATATAAACACATAATAAATAATAAAAGAAATATATATACTAAGTGGATTTGATTTGTTGCACTTCCATGCTTGTTTCTGGGAGTGTTGGGTACAATAACTTTTTGGAGAATGGCATCCAAGTGTAACATGGCCCTTTAGTTGCGGGTATTCCTCAAAAGACGCACGGCATGGATATTAGGGAGAGAATGTCGGAAACATCTCAAGTTGGAAGGGGTGGGCCCTTCTTCAAACCATATGTTCTTCGCATGTCTCCGTTCCATGCGGGACACCCACTGGGTGTAGATCGATTCTCCTTAAATGTGTCACGTGCACCCGATTCAGTCCATCCGCCCCTTCCACACGTCCGACAGAGTCGCTGTGTCCACGTTGTGAGGCCCGGACCTGGTGACTTGTGACTCATGAGGCGCATGAGGTTCCTGCGCGTTTCTCGGGTACCCCGCAGATCACCGCTTCAGGCAGTGGCGCCATTTACTCCTGCAGCTGGCCATGAAGGGAATCGGATGCGGTTGGTGTTCTTTTGCCAAGGGGGATTCGGAAGGACACAGCAAAGGCAATTTGTAGTGGTACTGAGTTAACTTCTTGCATATTGAGTTATATGTTCTATGTATTCCACTCCTGCCAGGTCAGATCAAGTCAGAGAGGAGCACTAGCTGTCACTAGCTTCCAGCCACAGCCCTTGTAGGCAAGACCATTACCGAATTCCATGATTCTGACATTTCACACAGCTCTACAGTAATTAACATATTCTGATATTTGACATGGTGCCAGCTTGCACCGCTGGCTCCAAGTAGGGTGAGCCAGGCATCCCAAATAAAGAACAGAAGATCGAGAAGTTGCATCTTCCACGGGCTGTCGTCAAATATGTCAGATGTTTTTTAAAGCTTATATAAAAGGCCCTTTGGACATGTCATCAACCATCCCACCACCTGCTGTGCTTGGTTGATTTACCATGTGCACATTGTCCCACGGCAAGGTGTGCTTTCGGTCTCAAAAACTGGTACTGGAACACTTTCCCCTTCAGGATTCACCCAACCCCGAAGAAAGCCACCAAACAAGCAGACTTCGACCAGCTCGAAAAACACCCTGACCCGGACCCCTCCGGACCCTACCTGGCAGCCGAACCGGCGCCGAACCGCAGGTGGTGGGCGTCATCTCCACGGTCCTCTTGGTCGGTGCCTCCGTGGCGAAGTGCGCCGAGCCGATCCACTCAGCCGGACTTCCGCTGCAGCCACTGGGATGGACGACCGGCCCGTTGGAACCCGGGGGGAAAAGTGGGTCCCTGTATAGGGGTAATTAGTAGGGTAGTAGTATAGGGTAGTAGTAGTAGTAGTTACTTAGTAGTAGTAGTAGTAGTAGTAGTAGTAGTCGTAGTCGTAGTCGTAGTCGTAGTCGTAGTCGTAGTAGTAGTAGTAGTGGTAGTGGTAGTGGTAGTGGTAGTGGTAGTAGTAGTAGTATTAGGTACTGTAGTAGGCAGTAGGTAGTAGGGTAGTAGGGTAGTAGTTTGTTTTGTATTTTGTTGTTCCTCCTTGAGGATTGTAATGCCAGCAGTCTCCTGCAGCCTTTGGTGTGAAACGCGCGAACAGGTGCCCAGAAGCCTGATGCGCTTCCAGAACACCTGTGGGGAATTGTGGACGGGTCATTTGCTGCATCTCTAGGGCTGAAGGGTGAATGGGATTGTTCAAACAGCCAAGCTCAACAGGCTGTTTGCATGTCCTCCTTTTTTGTGGTTCATTCGCACCAATAAGTGGACAACGTATTCCCACATATTCCAACCATTGCAGCAATACATAAATATCAACTCCAACATGTTCATTGAATTTTGGTGGTTCCCGCTCTCACTCAGACGATTTCGGCATCCCTGGTCCAAGACCATGGCTACGGTCCAGTAAGTCTTAGAGAAGTGTGATGACCTTGAGGTTCACCAGGCAAAAGGGCAACTCTAGTCTGGATCGGGGCTCTTGAGCGCCTGCCGCATGAGGCTGGCCTGTGCTGCTTTGCATCTCGTGGGCGGCGTGCTGGGCTACTTTGCCACCCAGATGAGTGGCTTTGACGAGAAGACCTGCCGCACCGTGGCCATTGCGTCTTGGTGCAACGACCTGATTTGGGTGACGACGATTCAACCAGCCACAGAGGTCTGGCATTTCTGGGGTTCTGGATTCTGGTTTGGCCAATTAGTACAAGTAGCATATGGCGGAGCCTACGTCCAACATCTCAAATTTGCAAATTTGGGATGCTTTACTCCGCCCAGTTCCGACCAGTTACCAAGTCGCACAGACCCCGCGTTCAATGCAATCCAATGCTTCCACAATAAACGCGTGTGTGCACACACTGACACCCGTGGGCACCCGTCAGCAAGCGTTTGTTGCAATGACCGGCATCCACTTTTGATGGCTGCTTAGTACTTCTCCAGCCTGTCGAAGTCGGCTTGTACTCATCAGGAAACCGCGATGAAATCCAGAGACTTAGCAGCAGATGGATGAATTCGTAGCACAGAAACAAAAGACACCCAGTTGAAGATACATTTAAAACATTTAAGGTTATAGATATATTAAGGAAACTGTGGCCAGCGACATCAGTTTGGCATCATCTACAACTTACGTAGATCCAGTTGTGCCGGGGTGCGCATTTTTCACTTTCAGGTGTTACCGTACTTCCACACCTCAGTCGTACTTGCATGTGCATCCGGTATACCGGACGGTGCTTGCAACTCCTCGTCGTCAGGTGCTTTCGGCTTCCTTTTGGCTTCGCTTCACTTTGGTGCCTTCAATGTCAGGGTTCCCTCTGCGGTGAGCGTGGTTTGGATGGCCATCGTCGGAAGCGTGCTGGCGGTCTATTGGAAGGGCCGGCCACGTGACTGAAGATGGGAGATTTGGGAGGTGGGGCTGCTGCTTTGGCCCGTTCCAAACCAGCAGGATCAGGCGGCTTTTGTTTTTCCCTGGAACAGATTTTTGTTTAGACATCTCGATTTGGATTAGGTAATGCAGGAGGTAGAGCTGGAAACACCAAACCCAGCTTTGGTCGTGACATATCGAGACCTATCATCTATACATAATTCGGGATTCATCCATGAAGCGAATTCAAACCCCCATTCTTCTACTGGACATCAGCGCTTTGTCCCAGGCCCATCACTTCGAGCAAGACACGTTGAGGACGGGCAGCACAGGTCGACCCAACGGATGACGAATCCAAACAGCTGCCCGTTTGGCCTCGCAATGGGTGTTTTTTCTCAGTCATGCATGCCAAAATTGGGGGGTTCCAGTTTCTCGTCAACGATGGGTGGCGTTGTGTTGGGGGC